ACTTTGCAAACTCTTCTTTCAAAATGCATGATGCTTTAGGTTTTTAAAACAAAACACTACCATAAGGCTACCATCATTCTTATCACTGGCTGCACAGGTGAAAGCTTCTCAGATGAGTTCCTATGGTAGATAGATCTTCTGCTGGAAAGTTCTCTGCAGTCTAATGGGGCAGCTGTTTTCAGCTCCTTGAATTCACCTGTCTTCCTTATCACTGTGTTATGACCACAGCTTAGGAGGACTCACTGAACTCTCAGATTTCATTCTTGGTTAACTTTTCCTTCAATTCTTCATCAAGTAGGGCCAATAATGACTGAACTTTCTACCCATGGCAAGTATAAAATATTATATCCATCCTTGAGATTTCATCTTTCTATTGATGCATACAGTCAGAATTTTAGACCAACTGGAGGTCATACATTGTAACCAAGTCTTAAGCGACCTGCTGGTTACCATCTCTAGTTGGCCAATCCATAGTTTCTGAGAATAGGCCTGCCAAGCTAGCTTTCCAATGCATTGTCTTCTGGGAAGAGTTTTGTGTTGAAAATTCCCTACAGGTGTGATAAAGACTTGGTCTCCTTCAGAGTAGTTGCTCTTCTGCCAATGCACCAGCCCTCTCTGGTGTGTTTGCTTCGTTGAAAATCAACACCCACAGGAATAGTTCCTAAAGAACTCCCTCTATAATTTTTGAATACTCTTGCAACTTGTTGACTTGGGGACTTTCTGGAGGACAAAGAGGACGTTTTAGTGCACCCTACTAAGTCCTAAGTCTGAAAATCTGGGCTATCAAACGTCAATGAATTCAAATGACCTTGATCTAAAACTTTGTTCTCTTACTTTGGAGAAGGGTAAAGTGATCCTTGCTTTGAGTTTTGTCTTGCTTCATTTTATATTATAAAAGAGCACCCATAGGCAACTCTCCTGGAGAGCTTTTGTGTTCTTTCTAGTTTTGTGTAAGTCTACAATATCTATTGTCCATTTTATGCCATTTGTCTTAAGTCTGGACTTTTGCTCTTAGCTTCCTTTACAAAGCCCTGTGTTCTACCATCTAATTCATAGGCACATAGACTACCCAGTCATCCTATAATATACTAAAATGGAAGTTGGCATTAATTGGGCTCTTATTATGAGTTGGGTATCACTGTAATTAAATATAGTAACTTACTTAATCTTCACAACAACCCTATGATTGAGGTACTAGTGTTATTTCCATTTCACAGAAAAGGAAACCAAGCCCCAGGGAGATTAAGTAACTTTCACAGCTACTAAATTAGGAAGCTAGGATTCAAATCAATGACCCATCTGATTCCAAACCCATAAGGAGATACACTGCTTCCTTATATAACTCCAGGCTGACCCTTTCTGGTTAGAAATCTACAATTCTTCACTCCAAGGAGTATGTGTTCTGAAATACAATAGAATTTGGAGACCCCCAAATTAGAAGTAAACAGCTGATCTCCCAATGTTTTATATTTTAAATGTCTGCTTTTCTAAATAGCCCTTGAGTTTTTTCATTCGTTGTTTTGTTGTTGTTGTTTTTTTTTTGTTTGTTTTCGTTCATTTGTTTCTCATAAGAAATGCTCTTTCTGTTTAAGTGCTGCTAGATTTGGAAATCATTTTCAGGACTAAATCTTTATTTGCCTAGTAAGAGCCAGTAGGGTCAGTGGGTACTTGGTAAAGATTAATGAATGGCTGTGCATGTCTGTGTGGGAGTCACATGCTTGGGATCTTCTCAGCTCCCAAAAAGGGACAGAAATGACGTGGGGAGGATGAAAATCACAGGACCGTCACCCAACCCCACTTATGGGTTTCTGGATCAGACTTTGTCATCTGAAGGGGGGTCCCAAAGGCCCAGAAGGAATAGCAATGCAATGCAGATCCTGGTGGGTTTATTTTTTTTTTTCTTTTTGAGAAATGGTTGGGAGGTGCCGTGGAAGTTAGATTCCAGGGCCCACTTCCAGGATTAATATCAACTATGAGAGAAAACTTGGTTCTCTGATGAGAACTGAAGAAAATCAAATATTTCTTAAATTGACACATTTTCTATTATTATATACATATAAGGATGATGAGTAATATGCCATATCAGATGGTTTATTCAAACTGTCAGAACAAGAGCTGAAGCGTGAGTAACTTTCCAGAGAACCTTCTGGGAAATTGAAGCAGTGAAAAGTGGCAGTAACCAGCCATGAGTTCATCTGCTACCAGGTCATCCCTGAAAATCTTGAGGCAGGGGGGAACAAAATGCTTCTCCCAAATTGCATGGTGGGAAATTTCTAGAGGAGAGGATGGAGATCTATAATTTCATCTTCCTTCACTAAAAAGCCAAATGTCCATGTGTTGCCCGGGTCTTTGCCCTGGATAGAAAGTGTAGGGTTCACCATGGGGCCTGGGAGAGATGCCTTGACAACTGCACCCTTTTCCAAATCTCAGCATAGCTTTAAAACATGAGAGCACTCACTTGCAAAATCAAATTTGCTTTGGCATCAGAGAAAATAGAAGGAAGAAAATCTCAATTACTAAGACAAGTATGGGCAGTCTCAGGCTTGGACGGGATGGATGAATGTCGTGTAGAGGAGAGTGTGGCAGGAAGCTCATTGATTGGCTCTGATTCTCTTCAAATATCACCATCCCAGTCTCCTGAGCATGGCAGACACCAGCTTTCTAGGGTGTCCACATTAATTCTAATATTTCATGTTGTCTTTGATGGGCTCTTCCATAAGATGAGCATTCTCCAGTGGGAAAACTCCACGTACCTAGAGGTCTGGATGAGAATTTATTTATACATCTCTACCTTTTAAAAACTCCCTTTGTATCCCTTACCAAACTCTCCTTAGCAATAAAGAGGCTTTATGAATTTTGATAATTGTGGGTGCATCAGAGAAGAGTTTATTTCATTAAGGTACCACTCGCCATTGCTGGCACCAAAGCTTACCCATTTTGTCCTCCAAAAGAAAGGTGACTTTGGAGAAGCAACCCAGAAGGTATGTTGGGGAGAAAGCAGGCATCATGGTCAGGAGAAAACGTACTATGTGTTTGTTGCTTAAAAATACAAAAATAAGGTATTGCATGTGAACAAAAATATTACAAAAATAGATGTATAATTATGCCCAAGAAATAGACACATGTTACTAAAGCCACTGCCCTAAAGTAAAAGTTACAGAAAGGTTTGAGAAGTGGAAGGCTGTTTTTGAGTACCAGGAATTGGTGGCTCTATCAGCAGCTGGATGGATGGAGACAAAATTTGGAGACCCCACCTTGCCCAAAGAGACCATACAACTCCCACCTTGCCCAAAGAGACCATACAACTCCCACCTTGCCCAAAGAGACCATACAACTCCTTAGTGTTGACTCTCCGATTCAAGAACTGAAGGAGCTCCTGCCATTGATTCTCTTAAAAGAATCAATGAATCTTTGTTTCCTTCTGTCTGCTCATTTGACCTTATTTCATTTGGAAACAGAGAAGAAGGAAAAAGGAACTAAACTGGTGGGGTGGGCTGGGGTGGGTCAGGAGATGTCCGTGCTACGGAGCCTGCAGACAGGATCACAGGCTGCTGCTGAGCACCGGAGTGTGATTGTTTGCTTGGCTGTAGTCTTATTTGTTTCCTGCCTCTCATTTCAAATGCTCGCCCTGATCTAATAAGTCACCATCTTCCCAGCCATCATCCCTGTATTGACAAGCAAATGTCACCCACGTTTGATTGACATCCATTGCTCCCGAATGCAGAAGTATGATTTAGGAATCGATTCTACTTATTTAAAGCCCTTCGTGTGTGTCTACTGTATTTCTGGGTGCGATAGCTTGCCTAATATCTACTCAGGGTTGGGGAGGGTGCAGGGTGTTCGATTAATATTATAAATCCAGGCTGTTCCTTCTCCCGCTGACCCACCGGGAATGGGGGCTCTTCCTTCTCATAGTGTCCCTATTTCCCCCCCTCCATCGATGTACATTTGGGAAATCTCCCATGGACCTTACAGAACCCTTTCCATATATCTTAGGAAAACACCTTGCCCAGCACTTGCGGAAATGCAGCTTGCCCGATCTTAAGATTTCTGATGGCATTTTGACAAAGTGATTATTTCTCATGCATGTAGCACCCTTTAAGTAAATGCAACTACTCCAGGTCCCATGGCAGTATCTCCTGAAAGGTTGCTAGAATTGTTTAAGGCTGCAAGTAGAGCACATACGTATGCACGCCCCACGGTGCAGCATTTGTAGAAAGAACCAACCCTCCCCGCCATTATGCGGTGGACGTGTCCGTTTAAAATCATTGAGAAATGTCCTTTGGCTTTTCAAAGCACCTTACTGTTCTCAGGGTAACATCTTTATTTCATTTGGAAGGCTGGGAAGGAAAATCATGAGGTTAAAAAAAAAAATCACATCTACCATCTGGAAAATTCTAAAGGGCCCTCCTTATGTTAAATGTGGCATTTTGAAAAACACCTGAAGCACTGGTGATGGGTGAGCTAGCAAAGAAGTATTGTCTAGCATGCCACCGTCCTTTCCACCTTCGCCCCCACGCTACACCTGGGGCTGCTGGCAGTGGGCAAAAATGGGACTTAGGTGTGACTCTTGGGTCCTGAAGACTGTCTGTCGCACAGCTGTCGCCCTGCCCCCGGTTATGTCCAGCAAGAGCGCTGCCATAGCCTGGTTCAGCCAGGGAGTATTTCAGAATCTCACTGTTCATCCATGTGCAGAGAGGGGGGGGAAAAAAAAAAAGAGAGGCCGAAAAAAAAAAAAAAACCCACATTGTCAGAGTAATGCCAAACTCTCTCTGAGTGGGATGAGCAGAGCAGATGCTGCAATGAGACGCCAAAGCGGCTCCCCTTCCTCTGTGCCTTGGGTGCCTATAAATTGCTCCGGCGCGCGTTTGTCAGCCTCCTCTCCTCCTGGCAGGTGGTACCCAGGCAGAATTCTGCGCTCAGTCTCTCTGTCGCTGCGCTGCCGGCCGTGAGGCGCTCGCCGGCTCCTCCGCGCCAGCCCCGAGCCCCGCCGAGCCCCCGTGCCCGCCGCTGCCACCGCCCTGCGCACCCGGGGGGCGCCCGGCCCGAGCCCCAGGGCTTCGGGGTGCGCCTCGGTTCGAGTGGCGGCGGTTGCAGAGCAGGAAGGCAACACACACACACGCGCACACCCGCGCGCGCGCACCGCCGGCGGCGGCGGCGGCCGGAGCGAACTGAGCGAGCGGGAGAAGAGGAGGAGGCAGAAAAAGGCAACTTCAGACGGAAAGTTGGTGCGAACTGGCGCAGTCTGCAAAAACGGAAAAGTCGATCGCGGGCGGCGGTGGCATAAAAGTGTGAGCGGCCCCGGCGAGCGAGCGAGCGAGCGGGCGGCGGCGGCGGCTGGCTCTGCCCTCCGGGTGGCCGCGCCCGCGGCAGCCACAGGTGCGAAGGGGCTCGCGGGAGGCGCCAGGGCGCCCTGCGCACCCGCCCCCGCCCCCACCCCCGGCTCGGGACTCCAGCTCAAGTCACTTGGCGCCCTCGTTCCCTCCCCAGCCGCAGCCGCAGCGGGGGGAGCGGAGCGGGCAGGAGCGGCTGGTGCGCGCCCGCCCAGGGGAGTTGGGGTTCGCAGGGGGTTGTTTTCGGCTCTGAAGAGGTCCCCGCCCAACCTTCAAAATTTTGTCCAAAAGCAGACAAGAGGATCGCCCGGCGCTGAGCCGGCTGGTGGGCAGCAGGAGGCGCCTGATCGCCGCCGGGGCGCTGGGGGTGGTGATGGTGCTTCTGCTGGTCATCCTCATCCCGGTGCTGGTGAGCTCGGCCGGCACGTCGGCGCACTACGAGATGCTGGGCACCTGCCGCATGGTCTGCGACCCCTACGGGGGCACCAGGGCGCCCAGCACGGCCGCCACGCCGGACCGCGGCCTCATGCAGTCCCTGCCCACCTTCATCCAGGGCCCCAAGGGCGAGGCCGGGCGGCCGGGGAAGGCGGGCCCGCGCGGGCCCCCCGGTGAGCCCGGGCCGCCGGGTCCCGTGGGGCCCCCGGGCGAGAAGGGCGAGCCGGGCCGCCAAGGCCTGCCGGGCCCGCCCGGGGCGCCCGGCCTGAACGCGGCCGGGGCCATCAGCGCCGCCACCTACAGCACGGTGCCCAAGATCGCCTTCTACGCCGGCCTCAAGCGGCAGCACGAAGGCTACGAGGTGCTCAAGTTCGACGACGTGGTCACCAACCTCGGGAACCACTACGACCCGACCACCGGCAAGTTCACCTGCTCCATCCCGGGCATCTACTTCTTCACCTACCACGTCCTGATGCGTGGAGGGGACGGCACCAGTATGTGGGCTGATCTCTGCAAAAACAACCAGGTGAGCGCGGGCAGGCGGCGCGGAGGGGAAGGAGGGAGCGCGGGCAGGTGCGGGCGAGAGGGAGGAGACCCCGGAAATGGGGGTGGGAGCCTGCGGAGGAAGGGCGCGGCAGCCGGGCTCCCGGGAGCAACCACGGGCGAGGGGGGACGCGGAGGAGGGCGCCCCGCGGCCTGGAGAGGGGAGTTCTAGAATCTGGGACCCTGGCCGGGTGCACGCGCGCGCGCGCATGAAAGCGACCCTCGAGGGGCGGGAAGCCAGGATCGGGGTCCCGGGGACAGCTCGTGCACTGGGGGGGAGTCCTGCAGCAGGAAGCCACCCGTGGCCGCGGGGGTCCTCAGCAGCTTAGGGTCACTCCCGGGCTTTCCCGGGAACCGAGAGGGCCGGGGGACCCGGAATGGGCGTGCCAGGGTGGCCAACTCGGGGGAGACAGACAAGGGCCCCAGGGAGAAGGAAGGGTCCCAAAGACTGAGTCCAGGCGGGCGGCATCCAGGACGGAGGCGGGAGCGACCGTGGGACCAGCGGTCTCGGAGCCCCAGCCGCGTCCCGGGCTGTGAAACTCACATAGAGTCCATTTCAAGCCGCAAACTCGGGTTTAGTTTTCAGCTGTATTCAAGGAGAGGCGGGGAGTGCGGACAACAAAAGGAAAAGTTGAGATTCGGGGGTTTACGCAGCCAAACGCAGAACCCAAACTCTTCTAGATTGCGGGGTAGAGGGGACGCACAGGCAGGTGGCCCGGGCGGGGGGTGACGACCGGTCCGAGCCCAGCCTGGGGGCCGTGGGCCTCCCCGCCAGCCGGCTGGCCACGGGGACTTGCTCCCCCGAGCTGGTCGGCGCTGCCACAAGGGCCACCGCGGTGTTCTGCCGGGGCCACTTTGCCGGGGAGAAATTCACGGTCATTGCCAACCCGAAGCTTGTTTGATCTTGGAGGAGGAGAATAATATTTGTAACTACCTAGAAGTGTAGTCGGACCTTCTGTACCTGCTGAATCAGCCTTGCAGCCTGGTGACCTCCCCGGGCTTTAACTTTGCTTCCTGAGTGGCACAGGGAGTGGCCAGCGACCCCTCCCTCGCCATCCCAGGCCCCCTCTCCCGCGGCAACTTTGACTTAACGAGGGCTTTGGGGCTGCAGGTAACTTTCCCCCTGGAAATTCAGACCTTCTCAGCTTCAACCCAGGTGTCTGCTAAGCACCATTAAAGTAGGATTTCCTCCAAAGGCCTAATTCAGTGTCAGAATTCTTTCCAAGTGAAAGACTATTGTCCTAAATGAGAGAGAAAGAGAGAGACTGTCTCTATCCCTTCTTACCAATAGCTTAAAGGACGCTTAGGACACATAGAACAAAACAAGGAAAAATGGCCACCAGGAGGCACTGACAGAGTTGTTTATTATGGTTGTTATGCACGAAAATAATATTAAGATAAATAAAAATTATTCACGGAGCAGTGGGGTAGTTGAGGCAAATGGCTAAAAAGGGCATGACTCATTGTACCCAAAATAGAGCTACTTACTTTACAACAAAATGGTCTAAGAACAGCCCCTCACCAGGCCTCTGTGAGGCACCCCTTTATTTACAGATTGGTTCTCTCCAGACTCAAAGGTTAGTTCTGGAAAATACCATCAGGCTAAAAAGATTATTTTTAGAAGTATCAACTGATACGAAATCAGATCCCAGTTTTCTCAGCAAATATATAAAAATGCTCACATCTTTAAATATCTGAAAATTGCAACTGCAGGAAAAACCAGGGATTATTACATTTAAATTCGTTTAAATGTTGACGTCTAGACTGCTGAGCCTGTGTATTTAAAACTGATTTCAAGAAAATCATTCCGTAGAGGTGTGTTCTATGTGCATTTTGTTTTTAAAATTATTTCATTGTTTGGGGTACAAAATGCTCCTTTGTATCACCCTAGCCTACACATTTCATGAGGCTCAGGAAAAATAATGCAAAACAGCTGACCTTATAATATATAGTGCTTTCTATTGGCAGTATTAAGCTGCTACTTCTGCAAAAGAGTGCAACAGGTAATTCAGAAAAATAAACATATAGTGGTAAACAACATATTTTTGAGTTCAGTGTGGACTCTTTTAGAAAATGGTTATTAACCATTACTGTTAAGGAATTTTATCTCTAGAACTATTTTATAAAGTCTGATCTGCAGGCAGTTACGAATGAGAAATCTTATAAAATCTCTTTTTATTAATTTTAAATAAATACTTCATCCTTGATTTTCAATTACACTCTTGTCTGATCACTTCTGAGCATGGCAGTTTCCCCCTCTGAGCTGACCTAATTTGTTTTCATAAAACAGAAACTCAGGGATCCATGTCAGTGTAATGTTCTATGGATTAAGTGGATTTTGAGAAGCACAAAAATTAAAGAAAAAAAAAATAAAACAGTTCACTCTAGGAGAGAGCAATGCCTCTGGACTGTAACCATCTGAGAGCCATTTTATTTATGCTTTGTGTTGAACGGAGCACACAGATGGAAACATCAAAGACCAGGAAATTAACGTGATATGCCACACTTAACCTTTTGTTTATGATTCCACAGAAGTACCATGAAAATGAAATTACGAGAACATCAGTAGCAATTAATTAAATTAGCAAATGTTACCAGCAAGATTGTCCTAATGATAAACTCTCGCTAATAAGATAATGCTAAAGCTACAACCTATTAGATTCTCACAAACACACCACTAAAAGGACCACAGGTCTCCTATTCCCTGTGAAACCATCAACCCAAATTTAATTGTACCATTTGTTGAAAGCCCATGACAGTGCATATTAAGGGTAAAAGTTGAACTAGAATAGCTTCACATAAGATACAGGAAAATATTTTTAATGTTTGTATACTTTTAGCAGAAAAGCTAAAAAAAAAAAATATTGCTATTAGGGTACCATCACTATAATACCACTATAATAAGCCACTCTAATAAAAACTAAAACTGGATCAGGATTAAAACCATAAAATGATGAAAGACTGAATTTTACTCCACAGAATTTATCAGTTATGGCACCAATGAACATAAAATATACTAACAAGAATGGATAGTTTGTGGGCTGATATTCGTTTATTAGAGAAATTAATGACATGTCAAATTAATTATCTTTTTAGGGGCAGTGAGGCATGGACTAAAGAGAAAACAGAATCTAAACAGTTAACTTGTAGGAAGAAACGGTATGAGAATAAATTTAGGTAGAAATAGGTATATTGGGCTGAGAAAAGGATACATCATAGTCCCAGAAAAAATGCAGAAATAAGTGTACAATTAGGAACCTGAAAATAGCCCCCAGGGTGAACACATTGCTTTCCTCAATAGTTTGATGGCTTGAAAGCAGACTCGTTGAAGTCACGGAGCTGGATACTAGAGCTTGAAATTTTAAGTCCTAATATACTTTTAGAATACGATCAGGTGCATGGGCAGACTAAAATCATGTAACGTGCACTGGAGTGTGGCAATTATTTAACTGAGAAAGCCTTATGCTACTGTATAGGTTAAAATCTTAGAGAATTACTTTCATTAAAAAGCAACCACACTGGCTTTATGCAACTGAGGTAGTGAAAACCGTGAGGGTAACCAGAATCATTCTGATGCTTTCCCAGGTTTTTGTGGTTAAACCTGCTGAATAAAAATGGTAACTAACATTCACTTGGTTTTGTGGTTACACCCTGGAGGCTAAAAACTGCATTCTATTTTTTAAAGAATATTATCTCTAAATCAAGTGATTTTTATTGTGTCCTGATTCCAAAATGCTTTCATGTAGAAAACAATGTGAAAGTATAATGCCCATAGAACATATACTAAATATCCAAAGCACTGACTAAAATGTGTCTGGTTATTAGTAATAGAGAGGTATATTATGGATTGATAATTAATATATATAATCAATACATTACTAATATACCTAATTAAGATTTTATATTTTAATATTCTCACCCATTAAAAATCTACATATTAGAAGTCTTAATAGGGATATCTTCTTTGTATTAATAGATATTTTTTCCCCCTGGGAATTAATGACTAGATGAAATTAATGAAGCAAAGCATTGAACACCTACAAACTGATTAATTCCTGGAAAATATTATGAAATTCAATTGTGTTATTATTTAATGGTCGAAATGAATCACTTCACTAAACTGGTGTATACATTGGAGTCAATGCTTCTGAGCATAATTACATGGTATATTGCTTTCATTCTATTAGTGCCAGTAAGCACAGTGTTAAGCAATTCTAAATCCTTTAAGCCTTTTTCTCCTTATGCAATACGATACCAGAAAGAAAATTTTTAAAATACGACTCAAATGACTTTACAAGTTCAGCAGTGTCAAAAGAGCCTTCTCCTTTTTTAACGTTTCAGCATTAATGTGAGACCATAGCACATGAAACTTTAATTTAAAAACCTATCATTTAAATTTTGAAAGAAATGCATGGAAATTCTTGACTTATGTCTCATTTCTCTCATATTGCCAAGTGATAAAAATCCAGCATATTGTACCCCAAGTCATGCATTATTACATAGTGCAGGTTTACAAAACCACTAAATCACTTGCTGTGTTATTCAGGGAAATATCATTATGGTGGAATAGGAGCAGGCCACAAAGTAGAAGATGTTTTACTGAAATAAATCAAATGCAAGTCTGCCTATTGAAAGATTTTCCAAGGCAGAATCCAAATAGATCTAAATGAACATGAAGCCTAATTTGAGCTGAGAATCTGACAGAATGTCCATGTAACATGATATGATGGGCAATTTGATTGTTTGCAAATGTCTCTCAACTCCCTAATGAGATCACAGGCTCAACATGAGCAGATTATAAGCAACCTCTGTCCTCAAAGCAAACCACGCGTTTAGAATCGTGTAAATATAAAGGGATGTTCAATGAGCTCATTACATATTCTTGAAATTTGAGAGATCTCAAATCATGAAAATTTCTTCTTTAAGAAGATTGATTGATATAGATATGTTAAGATTAAATTGTCGATCCAAGTGTAGATAAATGGAATATATTGATATATTGAGATTAAATTGTTGATCTAAGTGCACATATAATAATTAAGTGATAAAAAGGCACAAATAGAAAAAAAAAAAAAAACAACTCTAAAACCTTGGGCAATACAACCAAAGATGTTTAAATGAGTTAAACTTCTGACAGTAGCCTGGTAAAAGGGGCTTTACTAGAATTAGATTTTTAAAACCCTACATCGAAAGGCTTTCTTCCTTTTTTTCTTTCTATATAGTAGAGTAGTTGGTATTTCCTTGGGTTTTTACCTAATTTATAGATCTCAATTTTCCAATGTTTGTGGTGACCAACTAAAGTTAGACTTGAACTTCTGCACTCATACACTGGTGGTTAGATACTGCTAGTTGGCTTAAATTAAAATGCAAAAAAAATTATGTAAATTTCAAAAAGTGAGCATATAGGGATTCAAGGAATTAGAAAAATGAGTGATGTAGGAAGAGAATAGATTGTATGCATTGTTGACAACATATAGTTAGAAAAGACTGCTGGAATGTCTCCCTCCCTTTCTTCTTTCTCACTAATGTCACTGAAACTATTACAGAGATGTCCTCCTCAAGCTCAGAGGTCAAGGGGGACATCCCATGCTCAATGTCGTGCTGTGGCAGCAAGTCAGCTTGGCATGCCGTGCGAAAGGCAAAATAAGAAAACTTGAGAATTCTCTTTTGCGAGTTCTAACTCTTGTCTGTCTCACGCAGGTGCGTGCTAGTGCCATTGCCCAAGATGCTGATCAGAATTACGACTATGCCAGTAACAGCGTGGTTCTTCATTTGGAACCAGGAGACGAAGTCTACATCAAATTAGATGGCGGGAAAGCCCACGGAGGAAACAACAACAAATACAGCACGTTTTCTGGATTTATTATTTATGCGGACTGATAATGCAGGAATCAAGCTTGCGATTCTGAGTTTTGAACACTGGATTCCTGTGGCTCACGTCAGTGAATCAAGGACCCCAGGGGATGCCAATGGCAGGGCACCTCGGTTGTGTATATGTGGGGAAATCAAATGCTACCTGACTCACATCTGTACCGCTCAGAAACATGATGTAAAAAAAAAAAAAAATATATAAAAAAAAACCAACAAGATAAACAGATGTGTGATCCACTACCGCCAAAGCAAATACTCCTATTGTTAGTGTCCATGTGAATGAAGTCCTATATAGATCACAAATTTTTATAGAAAAATCTAAGACACTGAATTATTTCTTCAATATATATAATACTTTGGTGTACCGTGATCTTGCTGCTTTTATCCATATGTCAGCTTTGGTTCTTGTGAGTTTTACCTGCTTATTAAGATACCTGGAGTCCGTTCATAGTGTGGGGAAGAATGATTTTTACCCTGCAGGAGAAGGTCTGATTGAAATAATGCTGCTTGTCCCCAAAGAAATTGTTTGCCTTGTACTTTCGTTACCTTTAGAGCTAGACCTGGGAAGGATTCAACTTCAAGCCTTAACCTGGAATTTTCTGGATTTGAGGGAATTCCCAAGCCTGTGGTCACTTTTTTTTTTTTTTCACATTTCTTTTTTCTTAGGATGTTTCCTTTTCTCTCTTTTCTAGTGATAGTCTTTAAAAAGAGAGATGGACATTGTATCATAGGATTACCCTCTAAGTGTGAAAATGTGTAATCATGTGCGGTATTTAGGAAATCCCTTTTTGTGTCTGTTTTTTGTCTACTGAATACATTTAGATTTACTTGGAAAGGCAGAGAAATTGATTCTTTAGTGTTCAATCAAACTGAGGCTTTTCCCTTCTTTGGAACAGAAGATTATTCATAACCCAATGCACAAAGGTTTAATTTGAGCTGCTGCATGGAATAGTTACTGCAAGTCTGTGGCCTGAGTTTATTTCAACAGTAACAATTTCACATATAACCAATATGATAACAAAGTGTTTATATTTTATATAAATACCTGCCACACACATGTTAAATGAAATATTTTATTTATATATATATATATAAATATATATGTGGCTTTAGTTCCATAAGGCATAGTGGCTGTATAGTCTCAAAATTTTAATTAGAAAAAAAGTGTATGCATATATATATACAGTCACACATGCACACAAACATGCATCAATTTTTTGACTTACTTTGGATCGAAATATATTCTCAATGACAACAATATATGGAATAGCAAAATAATGACTTCTTTTTAAGAATTATCCAGAAAATTAAATTTTATGAGATCAAAATGCCCTACACTTCACATGTCTGTAAGTTAAGGCTACAGTTGGCCTATCACCATATGTCAATCAATATTTTAACTGCATTCTATGGCAGACTGTTAATATGATGTTAATACATAAACAAAGAGGCTTTCCTTCGCAATATTTATGAATTAGATCCATTGGAACAATCAATTTTTTCTTTCTTCTCAGGTGGATTGAAGCTGACAGTACAGTAGATTTTGAGAGTAAATGCAAATCCTTTCTCTCGGGTTAAAACACACTGCCAAAAGCCATCTCTTTAATCTAAGGAAAAGATTAAAAATGCATGTTGATATCTCCTAACTATCACACAACTTCCACTATTACAATGAAAAATCTGTTCCCCTTTCAGTTGCCTTTGAAGACTCTTTTGACAAGGAGATTTCAAAAGCAGAGATATTGAAAAATCTGCTTGTTTTAGTCGTGTAAGAGATTTGCATTTTTTCATTTAAAGGAATTAAATGAAATGGCTCGTTCCTCTTTGGTACTTTCTGTTCTAATACACAGAAAGCTTGATCATCTTTGATCAGCAGAAATATCTTTTATTTAGCAAAGCTCAACTTTCTGAGAGTTATGCATGGTGTTCCCATCTGAAGGAATTCTTTGCTCTGTTTAAATGGTTTAGTTTCTGCAACTGTCATGATTTATATGATTAAAAACAGCCATTTAAAAAAAAAAAAACCCAAAACTAGCTATTCATCAAGAATAATGGCATTCTATCTGGCCTTTCTAATATGTAAGATAACTCATAAATGAATTGCAGTGGATTTTATTTCTATTTAAAAATATCTATTTATCAAAGTGGAATTGGTAGCAAGGGTTTGGAGAAGATTTTTAGGTCCCAAATAATATAAGGAGGATTCAACCAAAAGATTAATTTCTAAACGGCAGTATACATCAACTAAGTGTTTTAACCAAGAGTCTTAAAAAAGGCTTTATTTACACAAAATATCAGGGTTGGATATCTTTTAAAGAGTAAGCCTTAGAATCAGGCTGTCATTTCCAATAGATCTGACCTTTTCTTTAGATAACTAAGCATTATTTTTCTCTGTTTAGGCCCAAGGAAAGACAAAAGGTAAAGGAAATAAAGGGAATATATATAAGGCAAACATTTCTCTCTTTTTTGCATTATATCTTATCAATTAATTAAATTGTGGCCTTTGTTATTATAAATGTAATGATTCATTAAACTATATTATGTAATATATTTTGACTATTATGATTGAATTTTTATAATTCAGTACTGTTATATGTTCTTTATACAAACTTTGGAAAACACAAAATTAACGGCAAAAAAAAAAAAAAATGGATTACCAGCAAGCCAAAGGCATCAAAACTGATTTACTAGAAGAATATAGAAATAGATGGACAGCAAAACATTAACCTTTCAAAATATTTTTATCATTGTGATTTGGTAATTGTATTACAGTATCCTTTAGGGGAATAAAAAAAATGCTCAAAATTTAACTTCCCTTGCTGCAGAAGCTATTTTAAAGTGCCATATTATTCATCAAGCATTAATTAAAGAACAGCAGGATAATTAGTAGGATCATCAATATTACAAGAAGCATTAGATTGCTTGAGAAGGGAATAATTTAACTAGAAACACTTTAAATTTTCTGAAGTATTGCAGCTCAGAGATTAAAAAAAGGAAAACACCCAAACCAATGCCACTTAAGGGATACAGACTTTAAATCATTGTTTAGATATAGGTACTTCTGTATTTATTTTGTTAAGGCAAAATAATAGGGCTCAGTTAGGCTCAGTAACTCCCAAGAGGTTCAGATGTATAATAACAGAGAAGGCAAACTCTCTCCTTCTCATAAGAAGGAAATGATCAGTCATTTGTCCTAGGAAACTGATTAATACTTCACAGTGAGTTCCAAATCACTGAGTGTTCTCTGCAAGTTTTATACTCGAAGGTATGAATTCATAAGCCACCATCCTATTTGAAAGTTAGCCATTGCTTAGGGTTTTCTACTAGAATCTTATGGAGTGCATTCTCAGTTATACCTCTAAGTAACATTTTAGGGACAATATTGGTGAGTATATGGGAATAGCCGTGACCTCCATATTTCATCAGCCGATGTTTTGTGTGTATGTCGTGGGCCATCAGAATTCGATCTTCGTAGCCCTCATCCACGAGGAGACGCACCCTGTGAAAAATGGGAACTCGTTAGATGTCATTTGTCTCACGTTTTTAGCTTTTCGGGGTGTTTTTCAACTTTTCACTCAGCAACCTATTATGCTTGTCATAAAGCTATTGTCTTCCACTGTGCATGTGTACTGAGAGACCTTCAATAAATATTGTGTGGTGATGATAAAGATATTGCTGCATTCTAGTAGGAACATGATCCTTCTTCCATGCACATGGAAATTTCTAACCTGTGATATTTACGACAACGCTCGGTAGGTAATACTGAATACTGCATGAAAGATCGCTCCTAATGGGACGTGCCAGTTCGAATGAATGACCACGTTAGCATTTCACTAAATAACACTTTCCTGGGTTTCTATTCAGCATTTGTGTTCCTCTCCCTAAAATGCTTCTCTTAGTGGGCCCATTTTTCAGATCTCATGCCTAATTATCTCCTTTTATCTAGGAAACACAATTAATGGGTATCTGTGATGAAATAGGGATGCAAAAGGAATCTTCGTACAAGTAAAACATTCTGTGAGTAAAATTAGCTGAGTTTGCAAGTGATAGGCATGTGATAAGTTATGCACTCAGAAAAAAAAAATGTTGGCAAAGGTAACTCAGTATTTTGAGCACTTGCCCCTTTGAAGTCTATGGGAATTTTGTCTCTGAGCATTGGGTTAAACTGACCAATACAAATGTATTCTGTCTTCCTTCCATGTCAACAAGATTGCTAAAATAAGAAGCCGTTCCTTTAAATTTATAGTCAGTTGACTGCAGAACAGCTTCCTGACTATGGTCTAAAAATGCAACCCTCTTTGCTTTGTTAAACTCTCTAATCTGTAGTGTGAGTCACCTCCTGACAGCCACCATCTGTATGTGTCTGGACCCTGGGCAGCGTCTGCCATGACTTCCAGGGGTCTCTGATGGCAGAAGATGCAATTTGCAGACAATGGCCCTTTTCTGTGATTCTCGGTATAGTCTGGTGTGTGTCTGGATTCCAAAGTGGATCCACGTGGAGGGAGGGCGCCTTCCTCCAGAGGCTGATTATTTGAAAGGTATCCTTTCTGTTTCCATAGCATTTCTTGGGCTTCCAGTGCATGAGTCATATTTAATAACTACTACAGTAAGCAAAATGTAGGGCACTATACAAAACAAGAATCCCTCAAGCACAAAGCCCTACCCTCCGAGAAGATACATTTTAGGATAAATGATAGTTGAAGATTAGACCTTGAATCTGCAGGTCAATGGAATGCAAGGGCCATAGTAGAAGAGCCAACTCGGGTGTTTTGTCTAGAAATCAGTGTGCACGTCACATGCATGCCATGCCTGTCCTTAAGTGCATGCAATGCCATTTGTGCCACTAAGCCTTTTTTTTTTTTTTTTTTGCCTTGTTGACATTTGTGTAATGTCCTAAAGTTCTGACAAGCAGTTACTGTTGGAATGAACCCTATTTAAGGGAATTAAATAAGGGAATAGTTAAATTACCTATTTAAGGGAATTATCTAAGAGAGTTATATACGATCACTTACTAAAAAGAGAGAAAGATTTGACAGAACAGATACACGACACTGAAACTTAGTGCAATAAACCTTGCTCCAAAACTGCAAAAGGATACCCAAGCACAAGACCTTTTAGGTAACACTTTCTCCCTGATATTTTCTGAGTATTTCCCACAGTTTTTGCCTCTTTTTCTTATTCAAGAAATACTGCGATCTCATACTACAAAGGCATAACGTATGGATAAACAGATTCATGTAAGATGTCTTGTGTCGTATCTTGAAACACAAAGTTATCAAATTGTGAAGTACTAATGGTAAAGAAAGAAGGTAGTGGATTAGATACTCTTATTTAAAAATAGGAACCCTTAGAACTCATAACGAATCTGGAGACTGGTTATCTCATGAGAAAGATAATGTTATAGCTCCGGAAACACAATTATACTGTGACTATCAAGGAAACCTGCCTGATCTTTAAGAAAAGAGATCACCCCTCGTGTTGTACTGCTGTATGGAAAACCAGGAGCTCCAAAAATGCTGCCAGAAGGGAGGAACCACTACAGATGAGAAGACAAAAAATCGCAGTAATTATAGAAATACAAATGAGTTAGTGTTTTGCAAACAAATATTAGAGAGAGACTACAAAGTGTGAAAAGGCAGAGATATAATAAGATTTGAGAAATGGAGCAGAAGATTGAAAACAGGTGTTAGACGCAGAATTTCTGGTGCTGAAAACCAGAGGTAGGCAGAAGCGTGTTTCTGTGTTCTTGTTCTTTAGATGGCTAAGAACAAGGCTCAGGATGGCTCAGAAAAGGACCGCAGATGAGTGATGAAACCAAGTGCACAAGGGGACAATGGGGACAATGGGGCCCTGGAGCACATGCACCCCAAAAGGTCATTCAGTACTTAACATGAGCTGTCCTTAGGTCAAGTGACCTAATGCATGGTTTTAATTTAAGGAAGATTAAGCACACTTATATGTATATATAGATAGTACATATATCTCATGTATATACACACACACTTACATAATATACATTTTATATATATAAAATTTCTAATATATTTCACACATCTAGAATGTTCTACATTTGGCACAGTAAAAAATAACCAAATATCCAAAAGGAGCTGACAAGGAATGCTTAGAAGGCAGTGGCCACTCTCCTATTTCCTCCATAGAACCCCTTTTACAGATCTCTCTCTTTTCTAGAAGATCTAAGAGCCTCATGAAAGGCACAGGGGTACAGAAGATACCCCTCACTGCTATGTAAAAGCTTAGCAAAAGGAAGCAGATCCTGAGTGCAAACTTCCCATTTCCAACATGAGTCATAAAACATGTTGATATCGATCAATTCTAAGCATATTTATTACCTCTTCTACTATATATATGCCCACTTCATCAAAGCCCCTGCTTTGTTTTCCTGGGCTAGAAAACTCATCTTTCAGAGAGAATCCCAACCCTCAATCTCTTGACTGCTCTCATGTCCTGCTTCTACCATCTACAAAGGTTCTCTGGTTCTACTGCCAAAACATAAAATACCATTTTGGAAAATAATCACCCAATCACGAGCATTGCTGCCAATATGCAGGCATGCAATCGTGATTTCTAGCCTCAACTGGATCTTACACGCAACACATTCTTGTCTGTGTATCTCTTATTCACCCAAAAGCCGTTCTTAGCCTCACCCTCCTCTACGTGGTCTTGCCCTAAATCCACTCCTGTTTCTCCTGAAATGGCCATGTCACCCTCACAGGGACACTGGAGGACACATGGCCGCGCATCCTCAGTTTCCTATTCCCCTCGCTAAGAAAGTTAATCAAATTGACACCAATGCTTGCTTTGTGCTCTGTCATTTCCGTGGAGAAAGAATATATTCAACCAACTTTCTATTTGCTCCCCCGATACCCTCTATTTGTCTCCTTGCTGTATATTTCTTATCTATTCAGTTTTTTAAAAAGATCAACATCTATGGAACACTTCCATACATATTCTGCACCAACCACTCTGATAAAGATGTGGCATGCTTTATTTCCTATAAATTCCATAGCAACCCTGTGGCATGGGCACTACTTTCTGGATTCATTCTCTCTGTGTGTGTCTGTCCTTGCTCTTAGCTATATGAACATTGCAGAACTTTCCAGAAGCCTCCCTTGATCTTGCACTGTCTTCTAGCTGCAGCCCCACCTCTCTGCTTCCCTCCATTGCCACAGTTCTTGAAAGAGTCACCTTCACATTCTCTCTCCACTTCCTTCCTCACTGCCTACTCATTCTTCAAGACTGAGACTTTTCTACTGAGACTGTTCTTATGGATTATAAAATGCAAGCCTGCTAATTGTGTGATCCAATGGATGCTCTTCCGTCTTCATCTCACTTGATATCTGCCACCTATGACAGGTGTTTGAGGTGCTCTGCTATGGGCATTCCTTTCCACTGACTTCTGTAACAACATAGTTCTGTGATATTACCACTTTGAAAATTTCTTCTTGCCCTGTCCTTGAGTGACAGTTCTGAAATGTCTCCATCCCTGAAATGTCTCTATCCTCAGGTCTCTGCTCTTCTCTGAGTGATCTCATTTATTCCTATAGTTCAAACTATCCCATGCAAACCAATGTCTAGATTTCTATCTCCGCCCAAATCTCTGCCCTGAGCTTCACATCCTTATCTTAGGACCCCACTGGACAGCAACACATAGATACTCTTGAACTAAAGTCCTCCTTGTCAATCCCAAATCTATTTCTCCTCCCAGATTTTCCTTCTTTTCTTTTTAAGAGACAGGGTCTCATTTTGTCATCCAGGCTGGAGTACAGTGGCATGATCATAGCTCACTGCAATCTCCAACTCCTGGGCTCAAGTAATCCTCCTGCCTCAGCCTCCTGAGTAGCTGGGACTACAGGTGTACACCACCACACCTGGCTAATTTGTTTAGTTTTAGTAGAGACAGGGCCTTGCTATGTTGCCCAGGCTGGTCTCAAACTCCTGGCCTCAAGAGATCCTCCTGCCTCAGCCTCCCAAAGTGTTGGGATTACCAGCATGAACCACCCAACCCACCCTCATCCCAATTTTCCAACTTGGTCCATTCAATCTTCTTATACCATGTGACCATGACCAAACCCAAACCAGGTAACTACTCTTGAATCCTCACAATTTCCACTAGATTGCAAGGAATGCCCCTACAATGGTTAGCTTTCATCACACATTGGACGATTTGGGGAGGTTGCATGTTATATGGTGTTTCATCTTCAGACATAATACTTTTAGCATTTAAATTGCAATCACCCCTTCAATGAATACTTTTAATAAAGCATTTTAAATATTAATTGTAGAAAGTTATGATTTTAGCACAATCAACCAGAGAAAGAACTTATTTTATTAGGGGCAAAAAAAGGAAAACATCTTTTGTTCTTTGATTGCCATGGCAGGAGTTGGGTATTATCTGTGTTTCCTGTTAGCTGCCCATCTGCACCGAACTTCTAAGGCTCTGCTAAGCTTTAGCCTACTTAGGATGACTCATTTTCTCCTTGAAATAATATAGAGAGATTTTTCTCCCTGAAACAGCACAGATATATTTTTCTCTGCAAGTCTGTGGTTCAGCCTGCTTACTGTTTTCTGAATCTTTGCTAATACTCACCCACATATGACAATCAAAAAGGGCTAGTACAAGGAACTCGCTCTGAGAGATTTCATCATATTTACCTTCTAATTCTCTTGTTATCATCTGGCATGTCGGTGTCTGGGTCAAATTGGTAATGAAGGAGTTCGGTACCAAAGAGATCGTATTCCAAGTAACAGCCAAGTTGAGCAAATTCCAGTAGCTCCTTCTTATTAACTAGGGTCCTGGAGACAAGGAAACAGATACATTGTTATTTTTAAGAGCATATTTTCCACACACGTACACTTTACAAGTAGTAAGCATGCCATGTGCTAGAACACAGTTTGAGTTAGGAAATAGGAATTTTGAGTTGGCTCTTAGGATGTGACTATAAAACATAAGTTCAATTCGTTACCAGAAAGAAGAGAGCTTCCTTACCCATGCAGTAGGGTGTTTTCCTTTCTAAAGTACTTGGGAAACTATAGCCTTATTTTAATTTTGCTGTCATTTCTCCCAAAAAATCTTGAATTCTCCCTCGGTCTGGCGAATTAGGTGAGTCATACCTACTTGGGTAAAACATAAAGCTTTGCTATAAGGTAGCAGAGTGATTCTCTTGTAAAGATTATCAAGTGGTTCTAAAATGAATTTCAAAGCCTATGTGAATATAATTCCAACTTTTTTGTAAAGGGACAATGCTCATAGAGATATATGTTCTGGAGTACATGTTTTTTCTTAAACGAAATGCATTATTTTATGATAGATTTTATGGATGTCTTCTCACTGCAATAGATATCCTGTTAAGAATATCATTATTTTAGCATGTAAGACTATGTAAAGGAATGGGAAAGAAGAGAAAGGTAGGATTCAGTACAGGCTAGAGACAGGGGAGCAGAGTATGAAGCATGAGTAGATTATCTCAAGGAATTCAGATTACAACAAGTAAAAAGAGAGGTGTTAAGGTAACCCCAAAGTACTGCTGTAGAGATTTGATCACATAGAGAACTAAGAAAGAATAAAAACATCCTACCAGGAGATAATATGGAAAGAATGTGAAGGGAAAATACACCCCACGCAGGGAATTAGGGACCTACAAGAAGCAAATGATTGGGACCCAGAATTGGCTTGAAGAACAGCTGAGAATGTCAGACAGTCATTGTCCTGTTAAGCTTCTTATCCACGCTGATATTCTATTACTTTGGCAACTCTAGGATGCGAGAATTAAAGCACTATTATATGTCTATAAACCTGCTTCGAAGAGGTCAGACATACTTTCAGAGCCTTTTCTTCCAAACCATAAGAAGACCAATTAAGCTGCCTTATGTCACGGGTGTAGCAGGTTTCTGCCTTCCTGAGTGTTGATTATCGAATTTTCATTCTGAGCTATCCTAAGGTGGCTGGCTCCTTTTTATTCTATTCACCAGTTTAGCATAACTTACAGTTCCCGATGTTGTTTTAGGCAGGGAGGCTAAAAAATCTTCCCTCTATACTGTAAAATGTACATTAGTTCTGTGCTATCTTCTATTAATACTACTCCTTTTCCATCTTCATACCACGGAAGACTATCTTTTGCTTCCAAAATTACTAGGCGAAAAGAATATGTGTTTTTGTACAGTAAACATATTCTGTTTTCCCCTAAAGAACCATGCTTAAAAACAAAATATACACGATCAAAATAACATAAGAGGGAAGAGATAAGTTTAGTAGTTTTTCTTTCCTTTTGAGTCAATTCCATTCAATTTGTTAATTACCCAATATGGACAGAAGTACTGGGTGGGGGGAAGTCAAGAGGGGAATGGGGCCACCACGGACAGGTTGGATCAGATTCTTATTTCTGCTCCTAATATCTTTTTCCTTCTTTTGGCCTAATGCCTCGAGACTAAGTTTTCTAAATTTTAAGTGATATATTGAGGTATATGCTTAGTGAAAAGTTTATAGTCAAAGTAAAGCCATAGAAAAATCTTCAGTTTTGGTTACGATTGAAAATGAAAAGTGAGCTGGCGTGGTGGCTCACGCCTCGAATCTTAGCACTCTGGGAGGCTGAGGCAGGAGAATCGCTTGACATCAAGAAGTCAAGACCAGCCTGAGTAAGAGAGAGACCCCATGTCTACTAAAAATAGAAAAAATCAGCCGAGCATGCACCTGTAGTCCCAGTTATTCAGGAGGCTGAGGCAGGAGGATTGCTTGAGCCCAGGAGTTGGAGGCTACAGTGAGCTACGATCATGCCATTGCACTCTAGCCTAGACAACAGACTGAGGCCCTGTCTCAATTAAAGAAAAAAGAAAAGAAAAAATTGCTTATCATCATCATCATAGCTGACACTTCCAAGAACTTATTGTGTGTCTGGCATTGGGCTTTACATATATTTTCTCATTTAATATTCTCCATAATCCCAACCAGGTCTCATTTTTACAGATGAAAAAACTGCAGGTTTGAGAGATTAGATTTTCACGCAAGGTGATGTGCTAGAATTCCAATTCATTTCAAAGCTAGAACCTATTCTCTTGACAATTGCATTATGTGACTTCTCCTACTGCTAAATACATATATATATATTTTAACTCAAAGGACATTTTACAGAATTACATTGACTGAATATGCACAGAGTATATTTTAATTTTTAACTTTGAAATCTAATTTCCTCCCCAGAGAACTCTCAAACGACACTTGAAAAAAATGGGGAATTGACATCAAAGTGTAGTATGGGGGTAAGGAAGTTAAAAGGCCAGAAAGGTAAGAAAGGGCTCACTTTGGAGATCTTTAAATGCTAAGTCAGTGGGTAAGTGCATAGAATAAGCAGGATGAGGCCCGACAGTTATTTTGGAAAATTTGAATGGCATGCTTGAGAAGAAGAAATTATACTAATCATGACAATCACTTACTTTCTTACTATGAGCCTTGATTTGCTCTAAGCTCCTTTCAAATACTCAGGGGCACAGAGACAACACCCACCAGCAGATCAGAGCTCTCTCCTGAAGCCAGACTTGCCCATCCCAATGCCTGCTGACCACCTCCACTTGGATATCTAATAGATAGTTCATGCTTAATGTGTCCCCAAATTACCCCTCATTGGCCACCCAAATTGGCTGCTCCAACACCCCTCCCTATCTCAACTGATGGTACCTCCATTCCAGCTGCTCAGGCCAAAAACCACATAGTCATCCTTGACTGCTTTCTTCTTCTCATGGTCCACATTTAATCCATCAGGGATAGCCTTTTGCCTTGAAAGCATGACCAGAATCCAGACATACCATCGTGTCCTGTGCTACCTTTGTCACTCTCGTGTCTTGCAGGATCCCTGCAGTAGATTGTCAACCATTCTACCAGCTTCTCCCTCTGCTCTATTACAGATTATTCTAAACATAGCAACAATAGTGCTGCCTCCACGCCTGAGTCAGACCAGGTCTCTCTGCTCAAAACCCAGCAGTGGTTTCCCACGAGGCCCCATGTGGTCTCTTTCGATGTGGTCTTCCTGATGCCTCATCTAAAAGAGGAAAGGGGACCTTCGGGACCCAATTCTCCAGGTAGCAATGACACACAAGCATTCCCTTGGTTACCAATGTTATCTGAAGAATGTCACCATGGGCAGACATGTCTTTCTGGAGGAAGGCTAGCATGGTTCCGTAAGATTCATCCACACATGTAATTTTCACAAGTGAGTCCTGGGAATTCTTATCTTGCAGAAAAGCACATAGAAAGAAGTGTGACTTTGAGGGAACTGGTTCCTCTGTAGAATGCTCTTAAAAATGTCACAGTCGCATATAGAGGAGATTTCTTCAGAAGGGAAGCCATTAGGCTCCCATTCTCCCATTTTTCCCATTAGTAAAACATAGTTTGAAAAGAGGGGCAGACAAAATTGCTGTCGTTAAAAAGTCCAGATACACACACACACACACACACACACACACACACACACATACACACATAGCTATTATTATTATTTTTAACTGACATTTAGTGATATGACCCCCTCTGGATAACTAAGCATTGGTGTGAAGGCAATTAAGAAATGAATTAATTTCCATTCTCCTTACTGAAGAAGGAAGCAGAGTGCAAAATCCATGGGGAGATAATAATGTCAGCGATCACACCTATTTTCCAATGGAAAGTCCTGGAAAAAAGCAGAGTGCTAGAGTAGATGTTAATGAAGGGCAGGACAGGAGATGCAGGGGACACCAGGAAATCAGCACCTCACCATCAGCAGGTGTTTAACACAGCCCTAGCTCACTCAATCCTCACAAAAGCTATATCAGGGAGGTAGGTCATCCCCATTGTACAGATGAGGAAACTAAGTCCCAAAGAAGGTAAATAACTTCAAGCTTCCAACTCGAGGATCTGTGAAGACACCCAGATTGCTTTTGTGTTTAGACTAGGCAGCCTCTTCATGGGGAGAGCACCCACCCACCACGCACGTCACTCTACGGAGACACACGCGCCATGACAGTGATGTCTAGGAGCGAGCTCCCTGCACCACGAATGTCAGACAAGGTGACTCACCCACATGAAACTGACATTCAGTTGGATGGCTTCCAGGGACTGCTGCATTCATGCAAGTGACTTTCTTTTTCACTTGGAGAACGGATTGACCCCGAATGCCAGCATGGCGCCATGGGAAAATGGGCTCTGCTTGGTGGCCTTCAGATGAAGATGAAACAGAGGTATTGCCCTCTCTGTCATCAATGATCTCTTAGCACGTCTTAGAAGAGTAGAGGTGTTAACCTCAGCCTGTCTTCCTCATTCCGTATTCTATATCCATGAATAATTCTATTCTTTCTTATGCCAATCCTCCCCAGCTTTTGAGATAGGTACTTTTCACTTCTTGCCCTAAACAGTGAGGTGATGGCAACATGCAGAAGAGCTACTGCATTTCACCCTAAAGAAAGTCTCTTCTTCAAGGGGGGATCACATTGCCATGTCATTTATGAAATAGCTTGGGATTTCCCAGGAGGAAGATGACATTTTCGTATCAAGTATTTATTCATATCATTCATATGACATCATTTCTTCTGCTGTATACTTTATATTTTTGTTCCTCAACTAATAAACAAATTCTCTGTAAATAAGGAACAGGTGTTAATTTAGGAAAAAAACATATTGCCATCAGCTAAAAAAAAAATGGTGTCTGAAGTGATTTGGCTATCTTCATTTTCAGAATACAATGTTTTAAGGCCCATGCTAAAATGCAAAACAGTTGATTTCGTTTGTCAACCCGCTTTATATTCTAGATCTTATCCATGTGCTCAGGGGT